TTAATTACAGGTTAACAAAATACGGAAAGTGTGCCAAACGTATAAGACTGTGAAAGTGATATCGTTATAATGTCAATTGCCTGCTTTCTTCTTTTTATATTTGGTCCTCTGTGATCAATTTTGAAATAGTACAAACATTTTTGTATTTTTTTTTAAATTTTGTGACAACTGTTTATTGTTTTTCGTAAGATTCACAGTCATTTTAGTTGTTGGGAGCATTGTACTTTATTACATATATACACATACATATATATGTTGGTTTTGTTTTAAGAATTACGTAGCAACAGCAAGATGAAAACGAAGGACCCTATAATCCAGATTACACATATATGAATTAGACAATAAGGTGATATGCTTCAATGTTAATTTTATGTGTTCGGCAATAATTCTAAGAATTAACCCAACTAACTTTGTTCTATGGAGGATACTATCGAGATATTGACGCACACAATCACATCCCGCTCACAAACATGGTAAATTCAACAATTTATACTTTCATGATTATAATACCATTAAATTTAAAGTACTTAGACTCAACATTATGCTACATATTATTATAACATGTAACGTTCTGTTAACTTTTGCAGTTATACAAAGAGCATGGCCTTCTCAATTAATTGCGGGTCGTTATTATTGACATCATTAGTTCAACATTTCGGGTTCTTAATTAAAAATACATTTAAATGATAAAACTTAAAATAGAACTTTAACTTTGTTCCACTTTATAAATTTTAATTTCCTTTAACGATTAGTGGATTTCGAATTTTGTTATTACAATAGGTATAGAAATGTTCGTTCTTGGTCGGGTTTTGTAAATTTATGTAGAGTTTATTTTAGTAACAATGGTATAAGCAAAATCAAGTAGCCGGGTATTTTAAGCAATATAATATTTTTATGTGGTCATTGAATGGGCTTTATGATTTGAGAACCACAAAGGGACGCTATGGCCTAGGATCACCGATTTTAATGAAATTTTTTGGGTGAGGTGGAAAAATATTGGACATTAGTCAGACCGTTCGTGCCTAGGTCCTCAGAAGCCGAGGGAAAAGTATTTTAAGCAATTCAAATATATTTTTTGAAATATAGTTTCCGCCTTTTTTGTGTATGAATTTTAAGGGTGTGATATATATATATATATATATATATATATGTGTGTACATACATATATATTAGTAGTAGTAGTAGAGTAGATTTTATGTATGTATAAAACGTTACAACGAAAAGACGCTTCCAGTAAAGTAAAAATAAATATAGAAATAGTAATACATTTTTAGCATACGTCGTTCGGTCAAAAATTATTTATTTTAAAATCGATACCCATATTAATCAATATTTTTACGAACGTTGCTAAAAGGCGAAAATAATCATTCTACGGTCAAGCAAAATTAAACCATCTAATGACATACAATATATAATTATTTTATAACCTTGCAAGATGAAAAACATTTTGTCAGCAAAAAGAAAAGTTCGTTTTGTGCGCTCCGAAAAAAACCTGAATTTTTATTCTCCACTTTTTCTCTTTCTAAATGTGCTTTTTTTTTAAATCACATCAATAATGATTACATTAAAACGACACGACAGAAAAATTTACACTTAGAAACGTATAACATAAACGTAAATAAGGACAAATTTAGCTACCAAAGAATTAATTAAAATCAGAGATAAAAAATAAAACATTCGGATGTTTTTATTAATTTCATTTTTATTTTTATTTCTTATAATGATATTAAATCTAACGTTTATAATGATAATAAATCTAAACGTTATTGATATAGAACGAAAGAAGAAAAATCCCGCTTTGAAATGATTGTAGAAACGTTGAATATGGATAAAATTGATAAGGGTTATGAATTTTTAAGCGGAAGACCGAATAAGTGGAAAAAACCAGCAGGCTTATCCAGCCTAAAATTGTTTATTTTTTGTTACTATATGATGTCGAAATTTCCGAATGTTCTTCTATTAAAGAAATGTTGACGTTATTGTCGAAATTTGAGGTTAACCTTCCATACAAGTGTGTGTTTATTATATATACTTTCCTACGTCCCATGGTCATCACAAACATAATATTAACGATTCCACAAATCCAAATGAAACATTTTTGAAATATAAACCCATGTAAACTACACACAATGAAATAAATCTCTCTCCGTAAAAAAAAGTAAACTTAAGATATAAAATATATCTTAAAGTTTGAGTTGTTTTATTTATTTCATCCTTTATTTTTCTCACTTATAATGACAAAAAAATGAGATATTATTGACTTAGCCTAAAAAAGCCTAAAAATGCTTTGGAACGATTGTAATAAGGTTGAATTGGGACAAAATAAAGGGGAATAATGAATTTTTAAGTAGAACACCACATAAAGGCGAAAACACTGCCCCGGCTAATTGGACGTGTTTTTGATGTTAAAATTGATATTTAAGGCCGTTAAAGTATTCTTAGAATTAATGGAAATAGTTTTCTTTAAAAAATATTTTTTTGTTTACTTTACTGTGATATTTCTATATGCCTTGCGTCTTTTCGGCAAAGTATTATTTATCCTACATAAAAAAAGCAATCGACGTATATTATAATTGTGAAATATATTCACAAGGAAGGCAGAAACCCTTACAAAAAAAGTCACCCAAATTACATAAGATATTATTTTTGGCTCCTAATGGCCATTGACATGAACGATCCAAAATATATTTAATATTTTTCGATGTAGTATCACAAAAAAAATTAAAATATTGATCCCACGTCTGTAGGCTCCTCTTGTGTCTCTTTTTGATCTTTATAAAACAAATTTTACGGCAGTTGCTTTACCCAAGAGACCAAGTTTCTATCTTCTATCATCCCTAAATTTACCCTTCTATGCTTTTGCCCATGTACTCACTAGAAAGTCAATTCTGCAGAATAAAATTCCAAATATGCCGAGTAAATTTTTCAAGTCCATTTTGTTCTTTATATAATTAATGCTTGGAAACTTTTACAAAATGGTTTCAAATCAGCCAATAACTGTCAGTTATAAAAACGTGGGCAGATTAGTTTTCTATTCACGTTTCATATGAACAATGAACAGTAAACAATGAAGAACGTTTTAAACGGCAGTTTGTTTCTTAAAGGTTTAATTTTAAAAAAATGCACAGTTTGAATAATCAAGCCCCCCTGATTTGTAAATATTAAATTAAGTTGATTTTTAAGAATTAAAATTAAAGATTAATATAAAAACCAAGCGTTGGCACGTGCTTTATATTTTCTTATAAATTCAAACAAAAAATATCTTCATAATAGTGTGTTTAAAATTAGACAATAAGCATTTTCTTAAATGTTTTTTTAGATATTAATATGAACTTAGAATATGTTCAAGAAAACAGTTGAATTTTAGTATCATGGGAATGTGATACAGAGTATTTTACATGTAAAAAAAACCACATCCATTTTGTACCATAAACTACCTGTTAAAACATATTAAAAAAAATGCACTGAATTATCACGTTACAATTAAAATTACAACTTCTCCTATATTTTGAGGCTTTACATTTTTTAAAATATTTATCCTGCCAGGAATAACCAGTAGAAAATTTACAACGTCCTACTTCTTTGGGTTCAAAACACCAATACGATAAACATATGTGTATGGAATGTTTTTCGATTGTACATATTGTTTTAATGTTTAGCCGAGATGTTAAGCGGTAAGTTTTGACCTCTTTGTAAAATATGTTAAATACCACTTAATGAATTTGAACTAATTTTAAACTCTTGATGTCAAATCAAATTTTCATCGAAATATGAACCTTTTTCATCCTTCGTTTAATTTACCATAAACTAAATTGATAGACTTTATCAATTGGTCGAAAAAAATAGCAGCGTAAAAAATCAACGTAGGGCTAAGGATCGTAATTACACTTTGTAAAATGGAGTTGCTAAAATAAACCTTACAAAGAAAATTAAAGGATCAAAAATGTAAAATAGGTCTAGAAAATTTTATATGTTTTTCTTATTTGTGTCCTCTTCGGCAAAATGTCTTTTAATGTAAAATTAAAATATTTTGCGTTTTAAAGATGTCCCTCCATTTATTTTTGGTGTTATAGAAATTACATGTTATGTTTATTATTTTAGGTAAACTTTGCATTAAAAATACCTCGAATAATGCAAAAATTGATTACACAAAACTATATAATTTTTGTATAATAAAAAATTAATATTTATATGTGTTTAAATAAAAATAGAACAAAATCAATCCACTGATAATTTCAACCTCTTCAACCCGTCAAATTGTTCTGTAATGTGTATATTATTGTCTTGAAAGTAAAACTAGGACGAATTTAATTTAACACGGGAATTTTGGATTTGTTTACATTTTCTAAAAGACACACAGTATTTATTATTTTTTCTTCAATTACTAAGTGTGTAAACAAATAATATTTTCTTATAAAATCTACATTTTACATACATACAAATATTTTTTCGTATAAAAGTACCATGTAATTGTGTTTTAAATTAATGTTCATAAAAGTTACAATTACAGTAACATCAGTCGGTAAATTCGAAAGCATTTTCGTTATGCTCATTGAAAAATGCATTTACCTCGTGTTTTTCTTCATATTTTCAATATGAAGATACCCTCATTAAAAAACAAGTTTAGTTTTTTTTATTTAAGCAAAATTTTGTATATCTAGTATGTTGCTATATGTGCTATACACTACTCCATTTTGAAACACGCTGTTTTACTTTTTTTACATAAATATATTTTTTATGTCATCATAGATGTTGTAAATTTTCTACTTTTCTATATTTTCAAAATCCGCTAGAAAATCAAAACAAAGAGATACAAAATGTATTTTGAGTTTTAGGAAAATAACTTCTTTTTTGTAGCAAGCAACAACCATGCTATTCGATAAATCGAAAAATTAATACAATTATTTAAAAATTTATACTTTTTAAAAGTAAAATTCTATATATTTATATATATAAATATATATACATACATTCACACAATATGTATAGTGTACTTGTACTCAAATAAAGCCAGCAACATATTTTTTTAACAATATACATTTATAGATCTACACAATAATAATGATAGAGCCTTGTAGGCAATCATCATTTTATATTATTAAATACATTAACCAACATTAATAAACAATAATCTTACCATATTTTCAATGAAATAGCGATAATATCTATTACAACACTGAAAAGATATCCCACATCAGCCTAATGAAAGGACGGTAAAAATGTAAACTTGTCTAATATAAAGATACTACAATTGGTTGAAACAAATACACAGGTATGTGGGTTAATATATTATTTATTATGTACATTTATCAACATAATACGGACCAGCTATTGCAATAAATAATAAATTAATACATATCACAGTGACACATTAAACACCAATGTAATAATAACACATTAGTGAGCAACGGTTATACGTTGATAACAAGAGCTGCTTGTATTATTACATTGTGGATGCTAAAAGGATGAGCAGATTGGAAGAAGCTAAAAGAAATGTATTCACTGAACAACGTTGCCCACTGCCAGTCTGCATCGCTGCCGGATTTTCGTCTGAAACAGAGTAATTATAAAAATAGTTTTCAATATTAATACTTAGAAATACTGGTGGCTACAAGATCCTAATTTGAGATACTGTAGATAGATTATTAATTGTAAGTCTTCAACGGCTCAGTCATTCAAATAAGTTTTATGTAATAAGAATCAATCAATTATTTAATGTCTAAGGGCATAAGTAAAGCCTTTAGTTCTGAAGATTAACTGTAACCCTACGTCTTTAATAATAGAAATAAGAATTAAAAGTATTTGTTTTGTTATTTCTAACAAAAAATTGACATAATTCTTTTTTTTTGTTTTCCTTCAACCTAGAAAAGGTCAGACGTTCTATCAATCCTTCATAGTTTTTTGCGTTTCCTTTGTTTCATTCTGTAGTTTTAGGCAGTAAGGAAGTTTTTAAACTATGTACTTCTCTATTTTGAACTATTTCTTTTCATTTCCCAGACATTAAATGTATGCATATTTTGTCTTTCTATTTTCTGTATGGGCTCACTGAAACCAACAAATTTTAGCGACTATTATTGAATTTCTTTTCAATGAAAATCCAACAAAATACAAATTGCAATAAAATACATTATTAAATAAAGTTGCAGTGTCGGTGGGCGGGATAGGCAAAACAGCTCTCACTTATCAAAGGAACTGACGATAGGTGGCCTCGGAGGATCTGACTGGAAGAAGAGGAGTCATCCTTACCCGATTAAGAATAGGCAATTCGAGGTTGACAAACGGGCAGTTATTTTTGGGTCAAAACCCGCGTAGACATGTAGAGGATAGGTTGATCTATGTTTCCCATCTAGTTGAAGGGTACAAATCCCTTGCTCCATATACATACGCGTAAGAACGTCAGCGTGTGTGTTAAGAGGGAATGTATTTATTGATATGAATGTGTAATCTGAGAAGGCCGATGGCGGAATATTGAGTACTCCACTGTCCCTCAATTAAGTTAGTTATATATAATAGGTGTAAAATGTGATGGAGGAATATCGAGTAATTTCACCACCCTAACTGAGTGAATGGTATGTAAATAGTAAAAAATATATTTACGAGTAATAGTAAAAAACGTATTTAAGAGTGAGTGATAGAGTGAATGGGTTTGGTTTTAGGAACTGAGGGTAGAAATGGCCTAGTAGTAGATAGACCCAGGAGCACAAACTTAGTGGCTTGCCGGACGAGACCGAAGTCGTTGGCAATGTTGGGTCTGAGTCTATCTTCAAAGAAATTTGAAAAAATTTGTTAAATACTCAATTATGTCTGAATTGTAAAAACTTGATTTGCAAACATCTTTAAGATTGTTTTGTAATATCTACATAGTTTTATTGATTGTTGAATTAACTATACCAACATTTATTAAAAATTTGTGATTAATATAGGCCCAGATGATGACCTAAAAAGTTTAAAGCTCGGCAGGTAATAATTGAATTTGTTTTTTCATCAAGAACGTAGCGAGATCTAGTTTATTCGTGAGTAAAAAAGTGGTCTCTTCATCTAGCACTTGAAATAAGTAAATAAGAACCGGAAATAAAATAAGAAGTTTTTTTTTATAGTTTTTATTTCATCTTTTTTATCACGTTTAATGACATTACAATTAAATTATAATATAAAAGCTCAAGAAAAGAGATTTACAGTATTCCGACGGTAATAAGAACGTTGGATTTGGAGAAAATCTCGGGAAGTTATGACATTTTAGGTGGAACCCTCAAAATTGTAAGAAAGAAAATTGCTCCCGGCTAATCTAGCCAAAAAAGAATAGCTATAAAAATTTTAATTTTTACCTAAGGTCTTTACAGAAACGAATTGAAATTGTTTTCTCAAAAACAATGTTTTGGCCTACCTTACAAGAAGCTACGTTTTGTTTGGTTGTAACTGTTTGTATATTCAAACTCATTTAATACGATTCTGCTTATTATTTCCATATAAAAAAATCGATTGATGTTTAATATCCTTGAAATGCATGCACAATAAAGGCAGAAACCGTAAGTATACCTCTAAGTATGATGTATACGATGAGAGCTAGAATGTTCTCTTGTAGGAAGGACGCCCAGCCTGGATCGGCCTTATCTCAGAGAACTAATTGCTGCAACTCTGAAGCAATTATCTTTCAGATACGATTTTAGGATTTGGTAATAATTCGCAAGGAGAGGGTAGGGACAACTTCACTTTAACGAGAACTATCGGGTGCCATACCCTGTTAAAAGCTTGGGACATGTCCATGAAATCACCAGAGCAGCACTTTCTTCTAGTAGTGAAAAGATCGTTCTGCCACAGATGATACTGGCGCACTTGACGGGGTCTGATGAGGGTTATGACATCACTGCAGGAGCTATTGGCATATTTAACGAACAGCCTAAAATTTTGCAAGGAGCTACTGGCACAGGTGACGTCACTGGAAGGTCTCACCCATTCGTTTACCAGAGATATCGCTGATTGAATTTGTTCTTCTAATGGAGGAATATTTTTATGCTTATAGAAGATAACTACGTCATCGGCATACAGCATAGCTTGGATAGGGGGCTTTATTTTTTTGAGAAGTTGGTTGATGCAGATACAAAAAAGGGTAGAACTAAGAACACATCCTTGCGGGACACCATTTTCTTGTGGGAAAACACTTGATAGGGTACTGCCGCATCGAACTTGAAAGGTTCTATTCTGTAGAAAGTTAGTTATAAATTTTATAATGTGTCCTGTGCTTCCAAGGCTTGCCAGAGTATCAAGAACCGGTCGATGCCATGTTCTGTCAAAAGCATTTTCCATGTCCACGAATACTGCGAGAACTTTTTCTTTCTGATAAAATGCATTCATGATGTATGAGTCCAAAAACACAAGGTTGTCTGTGGTGCTTCGTTTCTTTCGGAAGCCGCTCTGAAATGGGGGTTGTAAAAGGTGCGACTCAAGATACCAATTGAGTCTTTGCGATATAATTTTTTCAAGTAATTTACTCATGGAAGACGTCAGGGATATATGTCGATAGTTCGAGGCTAAAAGAGGAGATTTATTCTTTTTAATGATTGGAATATTTATGGCTTTTGACCATACAGAGGGAAATTTTTCCTCGAGAAAAATTTTATTGAAAATGTTTAAGATGGTGAGCTTTTGGAGTGCGACAGGTTTTTGATTATCCCAATGCATAGGTCATAGGGTCCAGGAGTAGTATCTTTCCTAGAAGATAGTGCATGAGTAAATTAATCAAAAGTGAGAGGCAGATTCAGCGGGTCATCATGTTGATTGTTATCAGAAAGTAAAGGGGTAGCTTCTTTTGCAGTTTTAATTAAAATAAAATCAGAGGAGAAGTTGGAGGATGCTGATGTTTCGTGTTGAGTTTTAGCAAGCAATTCAGCTTTCATCTAGGATCTGTGGTTATATTGTTTCCATTTTGGAGGGCGGAACCGGAGGGGAAGAACCATGACCCATAATCCTCTGGCAGTGGACCAAAATTCCTTAATTGGCGTATGTCGGTTGACCTTTGAAAGAAAATTTGACCATGAGTGGTTTTTACATTTTTTGACTACGAGTCGGGCGTTTTCTTTAGCAGCAGAATATAATTGAAGGTTGGATGTGGAGGAAGGAATTTTCGTAATGTACGTTTGCGCTCGTGTATGGCTTGAGAGCATTCAGGGGTCGACCAGGGAATTGGTAGTTTGGTATATTTGTTGGGATTTGTTTTCAGAATGGTTGAGTTGGCAGCATTCAGAATTCTCTTGTTTAAATTATTGATTAGGACATCGATATTGGATTCGTTTAGGTCAAGATCGTTAAGATGAACATTATTTTGATATTTCGTCCAGCCAGCTTTATGAAGTTCCAGCGTTTTGGAGGGGAGTGCAAAGGGATATGGAGGTTTGATTTAATTAGGATTGGATATTGATCACTTTGATGATGATCGTTTAAGGCGTACCAGTTAAAGCGAGGCTGGAGTGAAGGACTAATAATACTGAGATCAATTATAGAGTGTTTCCCTGAGCGAGCACAAAAATGAGTGGGGCTTCCCGAGTTTAGAATATTCAGTTGATATTTGTCGATGAAGGTTTTTGAGAGATTTTTGCCCTTTTTATCAATGATCTCCGTTCGAAAGAAAGTTGTGCGCACTGAAGTCTCCTAGAAGTATTAATGGTGGTGGAAGTTGATGGAATAGGTCTTCAAGGTCGTGTAGGTAGAGTTGTTGAGGAAAGTAGATAGTGCAGATCGTAAGTGGTTTGGGGGAGAGTAATCTGATTGCTACCACTTGTAACTGTGTTGTGAGGTCCAATGGTTTGTGAGGAATATCATTTTTAATTAGTATGCATACTCCTCCACTGGCAACTAGACCATTGGTATAATCTTTTCGAATGGAGTTATATTTACGAATTGAGAGGTTATCATTCATTTTGAGATGAGTTTCTTGAATGCAGGCAGCATGACAGTTTAATTCATTCATTAAGTAAAGCAGTTCATTTCGGTGATAATTTAGACCATTTATGTTCCATTGAAGAATGTCCATAAGAGAGTTAAGTTTTAGCTTATGGAGGTTATATTTGTAGCACATAAATGTTACGTGGAAAATTTAGAGCTCAGAATTCATTTATTTAATTACAGTTGCGATATTAAGTTTTTTCATTTGTTTTGGTAAGTTTGGAAACTTGTTTTTGATTAGTAGTGGAGGATGAGTTTGAACCTTGAGAAGCAGGACTTTTGACACTAATTCTCTCTAGATTTAGGTTGGAGTTTTTCAAGTGATTTGACTTTTGGGTAGTTGTATTGTTCGATGGAGTATACGTTGAGTCAGATATATTGCTATTGTGATTGGAGGGTACAGACACGATGAGTTTTTTTTTTGGGAGGATTGACGTGGGGTGATGGTTGAAGTTGTTGAGATGTCAGAACCTGGTTTGTAAGGAAATGAACTAGTTTTGTGAGCTTGGCGACTTCGTTAACTAAGGATTCAATTGTACTATTTTGTGGCGGAGAAAGGGACGTGGAGGAGGGTGATGAGGATTGTGGTATAACAGAGGTAGATTGGAAGG